AATTTATAGTAATATAATTTCAATGTAATCATTTTATATACACATTTAACAATATAACTGTTATATATATATATATATATAAAACATATATTATATTTATATTGTTAAAGGTGTGAAATAACATTGATATTATATTATTGTTGATATTTACTGAGATGTGGCACGCATTGAATTTCTTTCTTTCAGTTTTCAAAATTTAGATAATAACATATATATAATATAAATTTAACAAGTTTAGTACTGATATATACATATGTATATAAGTGTACATACATTCATTTAAGGCCCGATTGCACCAACATATTACTTTGATTTTAAGCAAGGCTTAAAACTCTGTCCTTATTTCTTTCGGCTTTAAAAAGAAAGAAAGTTTCAAATCTGAATTAAAGTCAAAGTAATGTTAGTGTAATTGAGTCTAAGACGTACATCATGATTGCTTTAACTTTGGCAGTTGGTCGAGCTTCACTAGAGCAGCCAAACATACCTCTCTCTCTCTTTCTCTCCCTCTCTTTCTCTCTCTACCATTCATCGAAGTATTCAGAAAAAAAAAACAATAACAACTTACACGTTGTACGTAGGCTACTGGAAAAGTTTCTGCAATCTAATACTTCCAGTGGCTCCAACGTTCTGCTACTATCATATCCGTACAATTAGACATTTTTAACCTATAATTCAGTTGACAATTTGTACCCAAGCCAACTAGTTTTGTTTGCATAGTATTTTAAAAGAAGTTATGAGAGTACAAATTAGTTCGGTCCGTTATCCAAAAGATAGCTCCTGTTGTGAATGGTTCATAGTGACAGTTGATTTTGGCGTTTTTAGAGAGATTAGACATCTGCTAATAATATTCAGTTTATATCGCTTTGAGTTTTATATAAAAACCTTGATTTTTACTGTGTTTGAAATGTCGAATTTTGTATTAACCAAGCAGCATTTGCGGGAGGTTCTAATTTTCTGCTTTAATTGGAAGAAAAGTGCAGCTGAAGCCCATCGAATACTTGTCGAAGTTTATGGTGACACTGCTCCAACTGATAAATCATGTAGGGAATGGTTTCAAGGATGGAGATTTCAGCGTTGAAGACAAGCCTCGCTCTGGACAGCCAAAAAAATTTGAAGACAAAGAATTAGAGGCATTACTCGAAGAAGATCAGAGTCAAACGCAAGAGGAGCTTGCAGAATCATTGGGAGTAACTCAACAAGCCGTTTCTGCACGATTGAGAGCCATGGGAATAATTCAAAAACAAGGAAATTGGGTGCCTTATGAAATCGAGAGACATTGAAAGGCGATTTTTCACTTGCGAACAGCTGATTCAAAGACAACAAAGAAAAGGTTTTTTGCATCGGATTGTGACTGGAGATGAGAAGTGGATATTTTATACAACCCCAAGAAGAAAAAAATACTACGCTCAGCCCGGTCAATCGTTGCCATCGACCTCAACATCAACACCAAAGCTGAACATTCATGGTTCGAAGATCATGTTCTGTATCTGGTGGACCAAAAGAGTGTTGTTTACTATGAGCTGCTGAAACCTTGCGATTCCATTACGGGCGATCGGAATCGGCTACAATTGATTCGTTTGAGCCGTGCATTGCGAGAAAATCGGCCGAAATACGAGCAAAAACATGATAAAATTATTTTTCTTCATGACAACGCTTGGTCTCATGTCGCAAAAGTCGTAAAAAAATTTGGAAAAAATGGGATGTTTTACCATACCCGCCGTATTCTCCGGACATTGCTCCTTCTGATTACTGGTTGTTCCGAAGGATGCAGCACGATTTGGCAAGTCACCGGTTCACTTCTTTCGCAGAAATCGAAAATTGGATCGCCTCCAAAGACGAATTATTTTTTCGAGATAGAATTCGAAAATTGCCTGAGAGATGGGAAAAAGTAGTAGCCAGCGACAATACTTTAATTAATCTGTTCATTCATTTTGTTTTGAAATAAATGCATTTTTGAACACAAAAAAAGAGACCGAACTAATTTGTACTCCCAATGTGAGAAAATGGAAATTTCGTGTGAAAATGTTCGGGCAATGATTTTTTACGATTACAAATGTAATCTAACTCTGAAATAATGCATCGATCGACTTTATTTGACTTTTGGGGATGAAGCATCATTCAATAGGACTGTTTATAATTGGTTTGCCGAATTCCAGCGTGGGCGTATCTTTCTTTGTGACGAATTCCGTGAAGATCGTTCATCCACGTCTGTTGTTGCCACTTATGTTGATGCTGTGCGTGAAATGATTGAGTGAGATCGCCATATGACATACCGCGAGATTCAAGCATCCTTAGGCATTGATATGAAAGCAATACATACGATTTTGTATGATCACTTGAGCGTACGGAAACTTTGCAGTCGTTGGATTCCATCTAATTTGATCGAAGCTCAAAAACAGACTCGTTAAATGGAGCAAAGAAATGCTCAAGAAATTCAATCGAGGTCAGTCAAATTTGGTGTATAACATCGTTACTGGGGACGAAACATGGATCTATTCGTATGAGCCCGAAAATAAACAACAATCCACTGTTTGGCTATTTCAAAATGAACCGAAACAAAAATTGTTCGTTCACGCAGTGTTGTCAAGCAAATAATTGCTTGTTTCTTCAGTTATACCGGACATGTGGCAACCGTGGCTTTAGAAGATCAAGAACTATAAATATTGATTGGTGTACAACAATTTGTTTACTAGAAGTCATAAATGAATTGCGTAGAACAAACCGAAATCGTCGCATCCTTCATCATGACAATGCCAGCTGTCACACAGTACGTCAAACCGTTGATTTTTTGTCCAGTAAAAATGTCGAATTGATTCATTGTCCGTATTCACCTGATTTATCACCTAATGACTTCTTTTTGTTCCCAAATATTAAAAAGAAGATGCGTGGTAAGCGATTTGAGTCGCCTGAAGCAGCTGTTGAAACATTTTGTATACTGATTTCTGAGATTGCAGCCTCAGAATGGAAAAAATGTTTCGAAATTGAGCGTATGCAAAAATGTATCGATCTAAAAAAGGTGAATACTTCGAAAAACAATAAAGCCATTTATCAAATTTTACATGTTTTTTTTCATATTGTTTGCAGAAACTTTTCCAACAGCTTACGTATTTCTACAATCATAATCATAAGCATAAATAAAGCTTATTCGAAACAATGTAACATGAATTCCAATTATTCACTAATCGAATTTAACATAAATAAATCTATGTTTCTTGAAAATGTGAATATTCAGCGTTTAAACACGAAATTGATATAAAGATCTGAGAAAAAATGTTAAAAAAGCAATCTTATATCGTATAACAAATTATATCGAAGTTTTATTACCGCTATGTAAGAAACCAACCATTTGGAATAATTATAAGAACGGCAATTTTCCTCGATAATATTCTTAATTAATACTGTATCGAACTTCATCAGGCCTATCCGCAAATCGATATTTACGAGACTTTATTATAAAGAATATCCGTCTTTTAAAGCCTCGTCTACAATAGTCGTACAGACTGTCGTACGAGAATTTCGCAGAACTATTGTTATATAATATTGTTCTTTTTTTCTAATCCTACGCTTGCGACGCAGTCGCAAGAACTCATATTGTATAGAATTAAGATAACTTCAATTTTTTGCGATTGACAAGCGTATCGCATAAACTCAGCCAATCACAATACAGTTAATTTGGCGGCAGAAATTCGTGTTGCTAGTTGATTTTGTGTATTTCCTTGCTGTCGTACATACTCATCTAGTGACATTTTCATGACATGTGATAAATTTTCCTGCGGCATTACTACTCACAATATATGACACAGCCTGCGCGATTATTATCAATGAGATTTAAAATGATGATAGCAAACTTGAATAATCAATTATTAATAATCAATTAATCCTAAAATGGAACGAAACGTAATGCTGACTGAAGAAAGTCACGATTCCATCCTGCCGGATGTCGCTTCGTTGTTTATTTCTGTCTTCAGTTTCTGTTCATTTCGTTCAGCCTCTTCGTGATGTCCCATCTGATCATCCACGTTCACTTCCTCCTCCTCCTCTTCGTTCTTTTCTTTACCACTTTGCACTACTTCCTCCTTCACCGTTACATCATCATCGCGCTTCTTCGACTCGCGAGTCTTCGTCTCATGAGCGCTCTCGACTGACGAAGAGTGGATCTCTTCTCCCGGATGATGAAAGGTCAGTACGTGGTGGTCCAGTTCCGCGCTGAAGAAGAATTTGAGTGTGCACTTGGAGCAATCGTACGGTCTCGCGTCTAGTCCGTGTTCTTGCAGCATATGATTCTGCAAACAGATGCATTGTTTAGTGAACGAAATAATAAATTCTTGATTTGCTATATGATATTTGAATAACTCATTGACAAAAGTTGTTATCTTGTTGAAATTTGTTTTGTTGAGATGAAAAAACTTATTATAAATCTCATTTAAATCTTCAATAAGAACTTTATTAATTAGTAGTATAGGGGAGATAGTATACTACCCTGCAATGACCTTGACATATATTGTCAAGATCATGACCCCGAGTGACAAATTTTAGCTGTTGCGCGTTGTTCTTTAAAAAGTTATTAACAAAAAGAGTTCACATTAATAAAACCTAACTTTTAGACATGACTATTCCCTGCTTTAACAGCGCAAACTAATTTCTTATATAATTGTTTATATAATTTTTCTTATATAATTTTGCTTCACCGATTTGGACAATAATTCCTTTTTCGCCAATTTGGTTGTTTGTTAATTATTGATTCATTCATATTGAACTGGCAAGCCAGATTATTGTAATTGAATATTTATTAAAGTAGAGAATAAGTATACAAGTTTTCTGTTTTAAAAATACAAATACTTTACTTCACAAACATAAATTTCCTTTTACAAACAATTGACATTGTTCCCTATTTATGTGTACAATAGTTTTATTAAGTTATTAAATTATATGAATTACCCCCCCCCCCTCCCTCTCTTTACAAAAGTTAGTCTAGTCAACTGCGTGATGATATATTTACTTTTCTTTCTAGGAATGTCTGCTTTACAAACACAAATTCTTTGTTTTAAAACCATATTTCTTTATGAACTTTTTTTGTTAACAATTTTTTAACAAAGCGAGAGTTAAAATTTGTTCAAGGTCACTCGGAATGATGACCTTGACAATATATGTCAAGATCAAAGTCATTAGAGAGTAGTCCCTTATATTGCATAATTATCAAAACTTTTTTGAAAATGAAGAAAATTAAGAAAAGAAATTATTTTATTTGACAAAACATCAGGGAATGGAAAGTTACTTTTTAAAAGTAATAAATTACAGATACTTATTACTGAGTAGAAGAAGTAAACAGTTACAGTTACTAGTTACCGATTTTTATAAGTAACTCGTTACAGTTGTCGTTACTTGAAAAAGTAACTTTTCGTTACTTTTCCGTTACTTTTTTAAAAGCGACTACCAATCAGACGAGTACTTAGGAGTTTTCTAGTCTCAAGCGCTATGAAATGGCTTATGTCTAATCGAACCATGTCCAATCGTGTGTCAAGTAACGATAAAAATAACTGTAAAATTCGTTACCGTGAACCAAAAAATGTAACTAAGTTATCATTATAGTTAACAAAAAAAAAGTAATGCAATTACCAATAAAGATACTCAAAAAGTAACTTGTAACTCCGTTACAAATAATGAATTACTTCCATTCCCTGCAAAACATATAATGAGAAATACAATTCCTATTTAAAATAGAATGCACGTAATGTTTTTACAGCTGGAGAAAAGACTTTAGTTGCTTTTGGAACAAGTGTCTACCACTTTTATTAAATATGGCTGATGAATAGTAACTGTATTTGCAAGAATAGGAATTTAATTTTGTTTGTAATAAGACTTATTTCTCTTCCTTTATTTTACAAGATTTATAATTGTTTCAGCAAATTTTTTAAATGTTCTATTCGTAATCAAGGAGCTAAATATAGAAGTTGCAATATCTAATTTAAAAAATCTTTAGATATATTATAACTGCAGCTATTCATTTCCTATAACAAACGAGAATCAAATAAAATTGATCAAATTTTATGAATTTGAATATGTATTTTAAATAACAAAAACTTTTTTGAATTCAATTGGATTTAAGTGGCTTCAACTGGATTTAATTAGATTGAGAAACTGAATTTTCTATATAAAATTTTGAATTGAGAAATATTTAGGCACAGAAAAACTGATATTATTTTTAGATTAACATAAAAATGTGCTTCATCCAATTCGTATAAATAAATAGAAATGCATTTGAATTGAAAAAGATTCATTTTAATGTTTGCGAAAGCGTATTTCTAAAAGTCTGAATCCATTTCAATCCATTTCAATTCATTTCAATCCGTTCTCGTTTACTGGATTATAAATTCAATTTATGAGAGAAAAGAGATGCTGATTAAACAAAAGCATGACAAGAAAGGTATAATTTTGCCACAATATACAATAAGCTATATTGTCTATAGCTAAAATCAATAAGAAAGTAAGATCAATAAGAAAATAATTTTAAATTTGCACAAAATGCGATTGTAAGTCAAATTTTCATTCAAAGAATAATAAATTAATTCATTTTAATGAAAATTGTCAGTTTTGCACATGTTTTTAAAGTTGTTTATATGACCGTTTTCTTCTCTAAGAGCTCACGATCACAAACATGAGTGAATAATTATTATTTTACGTTTGAGATATATCAGTAGACGGTTAAATTACCTGAAGACCTATAGGAGTTGTGAAGAGCGACTGGCAGATATAACAGCTAAGAGCGGCACAACCGGCGAAAGTGTGTTCTATTAAGTGAATTTGTAGCTGCATAGGACTGGCGGCCTCGAATAAGCACAAATGACAACGTAAAGCCTCCAAGGAAGCTTTTCCGGATGCCTCCAAGTGTTTTTTCCTCACGTGTTGCTGAATCTTGGCTTCAGTTGAAAATGATACCTAAGAATTGTAGTATTTTACCTTGAAATATATTCACATTCTTGAAGATATAATTTTAAAAACAATATTGAGAAAACAATAAGATTGAAAATAAGACCGTTTATGTTAGATACATTATTTTAAAATATGAAACGCCAGTACGGTCTGAATGTTAAAATGTTGAATTATTATATATATCATATATTCATTTAAATGAATTAATTTCTGAAATTATAATTGCGTGCCGATATCAGCCGTTGTCAGATTTTCAACGCAATCTGAAATATTAATAATCCCTCCAAATTTCCCAAATTTAATTTTAAAAATTGTAATAAACTTAATGCGAAAAATATTGCCTCGGCTGGGAGTCGAACCCGGATCTCTTGCATTCCGTCCTAAGCCTAAACTACCGAGACTTTAGCAATACTCCTCGCAATAACTGAGTATAAAATATTGAGTAAAACTTTTCGTTTACACAGTCAACTTCAAATGACCACTGAGTGATCTTGATCTTGACATTGATCCTCAAGGAAGTTAAGATCATCGATTTTTTTCATCGCATGTTGTTAATTAAAAGATTTTTAACAAAATTTTTATGAATGGTACGCAATTTTTAAAAAGAAGGTACGTATTTCAGCAGTATGAGGTGAAGCTCGTTTTACATGATGTTTTACCTTGTTTCTAGATAGGGAGAGAATAAACTCACTTCGTGAAAAGTCGGACAGAAATTCTTTACTTTAAAGTATTTTTCCGAAAAATTGAGTTTCTATAAATTTTTTTGAAATTTGGATATTTTGTTTAAAATAATTTTATCTATATGGTATATATAATAAAATTTCAAAGACCTTAGCGGTGCTGAAATGGAAATATTCACCTTCAAAATTTCAGCTTTTAACACGTAAACTCCTATATCAAGTCTTGCTAAAGTAACGTTTTAATATTTTGCGACGAAAATCTTCTACAGATTTAAAAAAAAATAAATATATAATGTAGAAATATTATAGGAACCTTATAAAAAAAAATGGAAAGGCCTAGCATTTTTGAATTAGAGTAGTTTAAATTTGTAATTTGATGAATTTCTCCTTCTCACCGAGCGGCGAGACAGGGATATGCTGTTCCCATATTTCAACTGTCTTCAGTGTAGACTAGAGTTCGTGCACACAGATATGACATTTATGGGTGTGTATGTTCGCCTCAAAAATTTCTCTCTTCAAAAAATACGTGCGGAAAGGCATATTCGTAGATTGTACGCGATTAATTTTCTAGCGCGATTGTAGCCGGAGAAATACTTTAAAACACAAATGTTTTAGAAACACAAAAATTATATAACAAAAATAATTTGTGTTTTTAAAGCACCCTGGTAAACAAATGTCTCTGAAAACTTCGTTGAAAATGTTTGAAATCATTTTTCAGAGATTTTTAGTAATATTCAAAGACTTTTTCAAAGAAATTGACGGATTATCAGAGAATTCTCCAAAAGTCATCTCCAAGTATCTAAAAGTCTCTGAATTTCGCTGAAACTCGAGAATTCAGTAATGTTTCTGAAAGTAAAATTTTCATGGTTTCTTACTTTTCAGAGACTTTCAGCAAATTCTCTGAAAATCATTTCCAAGTGTCTAAACTCCTCGAATTTCGTTGAAATTCAATGATATCTATCTCTGAAGATAGAATTTTAATAGTATCTTACTTTTTAAAGACTTTCAGAGGATTCCTTTGAAAATCATTTTCCTGAATGTTCCTGAATTTCATGCGAATTCAATGATGTCTCTGAAACTTAAATATAAATAACACGCTTTATCAGTTGAAGAAGTGGGGTGTAGTACGTAATGTAGAAGACTTATAATCCAGAGGTCCCAGGTTCGAATCCTATTAGGTAAGTGTATTTTTCAAAATAATTTCGGGTAAAATCATTACATGTATCTTATATGAAACAACTTCTGTTAAATAAAGAAACAAAATTTATAAGTCTTAAAATATAAATTTTTTTTCAAGTATCACATTGAAAATCACACTGAAAAAGTCTAAAAGTCTATGAATATATTGTAAAAAATTTTATAAAAATCTTTAAAAGTCACTGAAATATTCTGACAAATATCTAAATTTATATTGAAAAATTCTCTGAAAAGCTCTGCAACGTCTCTGAAAATATGGACTTTTCAGACATTTTCAGAAAAATTTTCGGAGAAATTCAGAGAAATTTTTTCATCAGGGAGAGAATTCCTTTCATCGGAGCAGAGTCGTGTCGAACGTCTTTAGGCGAGGGAAGGGAGCGGAGAGGGGGAGATGGAATGGATCTCGTTTTGCGTGTAAGAGTCATACGCGCCTCCAGGCAGGTGTAAAAAGAAGTAAGATGGACCTTGCTTAATAATTGATTAGATCTTCATAATTGTAAGTTAAATAAAGGAAATCTTTGAACAATATATTCGCTCTGCTAAATCAAACGAAGAATTATATGCGTAATGCTTGAAAATAATTTGCTTTCCAATGTTATTATTATTCTGAGAATCCTAACATGTATTATACGTACATCGAATCACGTAAAATATCATGAAACGAGACTTATACTCTGTATAAATATATATCGTATATTAAAAAATTGCGTTTATAAAAATTGTTTTGTTAATAACTTTTTAATGAGTAATGAGCGATAGAAAAAGTCGACGACCTTGAGAGTCAAAGTCGAAAATTACTTAAGGCTGACTGTGTAAAAGGAAAGTAATACCTGATATCGTCTCTAAAAAACCAAAAAAAGAAAAATAAATAAAATTATAATGAAATCTTAATTTTAATTATGGTAATTTACTATTAATTTGTATTAAAATGAAGTCAGTAGAACAAGTCTAGGATATTAACTATAACAGTCCGTTTTTATAATCTAAGACTTCTTAATCTAAGACTTCTATAATCTTAAAATATCATAAATTATTCATAATAAAATATCGAAATACAAATATCAGTCGATATTACATGTTTTAATTAATTAATAATAAATTAATAATATAGTTTTTATTTTTTGACGTTTCTTTATAATCATTATTTTAACAAAGTGAAAATTGAATTTTTTTATTGGCATGGTTCAGATTTTATATTACATCATCCAGCTCTTGTTAAAATTACGTAAAATATTCTATACTAACTTGACATTGTATGCAGGTATAGGTATTCGAGCCACCGACAGCTTTTTCATGCTCAGCGATCCTGTGCTTCTCTGCCTCTTCGAAGTCTTCAAACTTCACTCCGCAATCTTCACACCTTTTCTTATTCGTATTCCCTTCGTTCCTGGATCGGTCCTCTATTTTGAGTCCTCTCTCGTGCTCCCACTTATCTTTAGTTTCGTCCCACTGGCCGTCCTTGTTCGCGAGCCAAGTCGTCTCATATTTAGCCCTATGCTCATAGGTCGTCGAGTTTAGAATAGGCAATCCCTGAGAATGTCGCATGTAACACGGTTTACAGACTCTGAGCAGCTGTCCGCTTGTACTGGCAGGATTGGGTGGTAGATTGACGAAGTCCTCGGCTGCAAAGTCGCGCAAGCAGAGGCAGCAACCTTGATTTTGACCTTTGTCACCACCAGGACTAGTCGGGCTGGAACCGGTACTGCGCAAACTTGAGGACGTTCGTAGATGATGCCGCGCGTGCAAACGACATTCCAAATCGCTGATCAAGGTCTGTCGACATACAACGCATGGCGCGGGCAGATGAGGCAACGTACTGTCCAGTCGTTGTTGCGGATCCACATTATCCAGACTGTGTCTTTGCACGTGGTCCAGAAACTGACTTTCTGATGTGAGACAACCACGACACACCACGCACGTGTCGCTCAGCTGGATCTTGCAATGCTTCTGGAGCTTGTGCTCCGCCAGATTCGCGCCAGATGGGCATACTTCGTCGCAGATATTGCATTTGTGACGTCCACTGGACTCATTAGATGCATGTTGAATCCTCGTGTGAGATTCCAGCTCGTTTCGCGAGCGACAAACTTCGCCACAATAGCCACAAGTCATGCTCAAAGTAGATAGAGCCTTGTTGGATAGCTTAAGGGGCGTGTGAGCTAATTTCTTATGTGCCTGCAGCTCGGCCTCGTTCGCAAATTCACCGCGTTCGCAGAGCTCACATTGCTGACTGGAAGTACCATAATTTGAACGTTTGTTGTTATTGTCGCGCTGATTCAGGGAGTTGTTGTTGCTTGAAGCTGGTGAACGGCCTCTCTTCAGAGATTTTGTCTAGAATTTAGGAAGGAAATCATTTTGCGAACAAACTTATGAATACTTTTTAATTATACGTATAGAATATTTTTATATTATAGAAGGAAAGAATTCCTTCTTAATATTCAAGGTGTAGAATCCCGGATCCCTTAAACTCTTAAAAAATAAGCGTTTCTGAGAGAACAATTTCTGTTTCATACAAAAATGGGTTTAAAATGATCTATTCTCTCTACTGACCTCATCAATTTAATCTTCGGTAGCACTACCAAAGTCAGGTCAAGATCAAATCAATTTTTTTAAATGTAACATCCTATTTTTTATTTCAGATTCTAATGACTGGTGTCAATAGCTTTTTAAAACACAATAATAAAGCCTTCTTTTAATGAGTATTTTTCGAGTTATGAGACTTGAAAGTTACAGTACCGCCGGCATTAACATTATCTAACAAAAAAAGGGATCCTATCCGGATTTTAATGAGCTTTTAGTACGTTATTCTCCAGACAAAAATAAGTGAAACGTATTTTTTTATAAAGGGCCCATATGCCCTTTTAGGGGGTGAAACACTCTTTAGAAAAAAGTGCGTATGGACACATAAAAAAATACGTGTCGCTTATTTTTGTCTGGAGAATAATTAAAAGCTGGTGTAACAATCACAGTAGACAGGCCTAGGGACTTCCTAGTCTCAAGCGCTATGAGTGACTTGTGTCCAATCGTATCATGTCCAATCATGTCCAATCGTGTGCAAAGTAGTGATAAAAGTAACTGTAAAATTCGTTACCGTAACTGTAAAATACATTACCAAAAAATATAGCTTTGTTATCGTTACAATTACACCAAGCTTTCTTATAACTCAAAAAGTACTGATTAAAAAGAAGCTTTATTATAATGTTTTGGAAAGTTGTTAATACTAACTATTAGATTTTGAAATAAAAAATAGAATATTTTATTTAAAAAAATCGATTTGAACTTAACTTGATCTTGATGGCGTCACCTCAAACTGATAAGATCAGTACATAGATTATTTTAAACTCTACAACTTTTGTATGAAACATCTTTCTAAGAAATGTCAAGAAATAGAAAGTTACTTTTTAAAAGTACAATTATCGAGTAGAAAAAGTAACATGGTACCGTTACTAGTTACCGATTTTAAAAAATAACTCGTTATAGTTACCGTTACTTGAGAAAGTAACTTTTCGTTACTTTTCCGTTACTTTTTAAAATCGATGACTACCAATTACAATAGATAGACCTAGGGACTTTCTAATCTCTATGAGTGATTTGTGTCCAATCGTATCATGTCCAATCGTATCGTGTCCAATCGTGTGCAAAGTAGTGATAAAAGTAACTGTAAAATTCGTTACCGTACGTTACCAAAAAATATAGCTTTGTTACCATTACAGTTTACATCAAAAGAAAAAAGTAACCAATTAAGTAACCAGAAATATATATATATATATATATAACGAGTTACTTCCATTCCCTGAAAAATCTTACTCTTCAAGATATTTAAGGGACTTTTTGTACATCCTGTATTTATATCATTAAAATACAAAATTTAAATATCTAAAAATATACAATTAAAAAAACCATTTTATATGGTAGATACTACACACCACACTGAGTAAAAACCTTAGTGAATATAGAAACTCAACCGTTTCTGAGATATTAGATGCGCAACTAAGTTCTCGCTGTTATTTTGATGAAAATGCAACTTTATTGTGAAAAAATGGCTTGGAAATGGCTTGGCGAGTAACTCCTAACACTGAAGCAAGCTCTTCTTGCGTTTGGCACGGATCCTCATCGAGCAATGCCTCCAATTCAGCGTCTTCGACGGTTTTTGGCCTTCCTTCACGCGGACGGTCGTCAATCGAAATCACCGTTTGAAGCGACGGAACCAATCTCGGCACGTTGTTTCCCTTAGAGCAGCATCTCCGTAACCTTTTTGGAGCTCTCTATGCGCTTCAGCCGCCGTTTTCTTCGAATGAAAGAAGAAAATCAATACTTCCCGCATATTACGATGATTTGGCACAAAATCAGACATTTTCACACAACCAAAAGAATATGACGTAAAAACAAAATCACTAATGTTTCAAAGCGGTTTGTTTACCATATGTCTAAGCTCGGTTCATGACGTTTAGGTTATGTCAGAATCGACAAGCTCTTACTGCTGAAGCCATCTGTTGACAAACAGCGGGAACTTAGTTGCGCACCTAATATAAACATTTTTGTATGTTAACATCATGAATGACTTACTTTCTCTATTTACAGAAGATATTTCACATGTCCTCCTTCCATTTTCATCTACGCTTGGCATCTTCTTCTTACAGAGTCTTACAGAATTCTTGCAGAACGCTGTTTATAAACATTGAGGTAAACATTGCATGCGACACGTAGAAACTAGTAAGTTTCATTCATGATGTTAACATGTTTATATTATTAAAAAAGTTTATATCTTACAATCAAAAACGATTGAGTTTTCGACCTATGTTCACTATTTTTTTTACTCATAAGTATGGTGTGTACTGTGTACCATATAAATGCTGAATGGTTTTTTAAATCTAAATTTATCTAGATCTTTCTATAAGGTTTATTTTATATTTACATATGCACACAATTAGAAAATTTATTTTAAACTGAAAATTTGTATTAAATTGAATAGATCATTTAAAACACATTTTAAATGATGTGTTTTAAATGATCAATTCACATTTTTGTATCAATTTAACTTACGATGTAAAAAACTAACATAATTTGTAAAAAAATGAATGCAAAAAATATAACACTGACACAATTTGTAAATAAATTAAATTTGTAAATATAATAAAAACATATTTTTTCAGTAAAATTAACATGTATAATATGTTAATTATTTAATGCACATTTTATTCTTTTGTCTAAAAATTTTTTAAATATTTTTATGTTATTTGTTCATTCATAAATTGTGTTATGTTAATACTTATAAATATTGAATATCAATTTTACATAAAACAGTCAAATAACACAATTATATTATGTTGATTTCAACAATAAGAAATAGAAGTAATGGCCACAATAGTCAAAATTAGACCTTTAATGCTTAAATAATTCAATCTGAATTACTATATATACTACACACGCACGCACGCACGCACGCACGCACGCACGCACGCACGCACGCACGCACGCACGCACGCACGCACGCACGCACGCACGCACGCACGCACGCACGCACGCACGCACGCACGCACGCACGCACGCACGCACGCACGCACGCACGCACGCACGCACGCACGCACGCACGCACGCACGCACGCACGCACGCACGTACAAAACAGATTACAAAAATACAGAGAGATCTGGGTTCGACTGTTGGCCGAGATAATATTTTTCGCAATAAATTTTTATTAACAGTTTTTCAACATATTAACATCTTTATAATATGATACCTGATTGTAGTATTAAATTATTAAAAACTGCTTGTTAATTTAATTCGCGATTACTAGAGTAGTTTAATTGCGTTTATATCCGGAAAAACAATTCGGCGCGCGCGCGCGCAGTTCGAAAGACAATATATATGCAAGTACATATGTGATATACATATAATAATTCAAGATTAAATTATTTAAGCAATAAAGATCCAGCTTCAACCGTTATAGGCATTTTAATTTCTAGTATAGATTGTAATTATGTTATTTACAGATTTTGTGTGAAATTGATATTCAACGTTTCTTAGTGTTAAAATAATACAATTTATGAGTAAGTAAACAAATAACATAAAAATAATATGTTTCAAAATATAAATTCTACAAATGAACAAAATACGTGTTAATTTAATATATCATAAATGTAAATTTTTTGAAAAAAAAAAACTTCCACGTTTTATTTACAAACTGTATCAATATTACTTTTTTTTCTATTTATTCTCTTATATAATATTCGTATAACTTTCTAAAAATACGTTCAGACTATCGAGCCGAATATTGAGCCGCGACTTGAGCCTGCGTTCTATTCAAAGATCCTACATCCACATTATCAAAATGAATACAGATTCACATTAAATCTTTGAATGTGAACGCAGGCTCGGTTCGTGGCTCGATGTTCAACTCGATAATCTGGATGCATCCTAACATATTCGTCTTCTGTTAAATTAACAAAAAAATTTTAATAGACCGTTTGCGACATGTGGTTTCTATTAAATTCGACACATTTTTTCTAACATGTTTTTTATAACAAGACTTACTTCTTCTTGATTTCTAGTCGGTCGATGAACGCGTCCGTTCTCCCTGTTTCTAACTGACGGCACTTGGTGATCTTGCGCTGTCTGATGATGAACCTGAGTGACATGTCGATCCAACAGGAACTCCACCGCGAAACCTTCTCTACAGATGGGACATCTATAAAGACTGGCCGAGTGACTGGCCAGATGAAGCTGAAGTTCAAGCTCCGAACTGCAGCAGATTCCGCAAAAGACGCAGCGCGTTGTGATAATACCAGGCGTCGAAGCTGGGCTCCTCGTTGTTGCTCTGATAGGACTACTGTTCGTTAAGGAAGGAACGACCGGAGGAGGCGCGTGCACGTTACGCACATGAGCCGCCATCTCGGCTTCGCTTCTGAAGAAGCTCCTGCTATCGCCGGGAGCCGCGTTTGTTCCCGGTGGTGAGTTTTCGTTGTTGGACAACGTACATACACTACATCGATAGATCCGGCACTCTTGGCTGTGCTTGACTGCAAAGTGCACTTGTATCGCTACCTTGGAGTCGAACGTGTCCCGGCATAGAGCGCAACGGTACAAATGATGTGCATGAGCGTCCAACAAATGTCTTTGAAGCTGATCTGGATGCGGGTAAAACTTTTTACAGGCGCCGCATACGAATTCTTTGCTGATCTGTCCTACGTAATGCTTAGTTAGGTGAGCCAGCATGTCTTCGCGAGATGGGAAAACCATCTCGCATTTGGGGCACAAATGTTGCCTGTTGGACATCTCCTGATTACGGTGGTCGGCCTGCAGGTGCCGAGCCACGTGTTCGCGAAAGGATTCGAAATCCTTCAGCGCGGCGTCGCATTGGCCGCACAACAGAGTGTCAGCGGTATAGCTACCAGCGGCGTCCGCGGATGGACGGGTCGGACGCTTATTCGTGAGATC